TTGGTACCTATAATGCATTTATATTCATAACGTTATTATATAGCTTGGAAGCATTGCAGTATGTTTAGGTACTTGCTATGAATAACATATGAAAGACAAGACATAAAATACTCATTAATAAAGAATTTTTTTTTAAAGTTCTACATATTTTAAATTATTTATTACTTGCCGTTAAACGTGTAAAACGCAAGTGGTGTAGAAACATACTGACAAACTAATTCAATCTTAATATTCATGTTAGTTTTTATTGTAGTACGTCCACTGGGAGGCTTCTATGGYTCTGCGCTCTGTTYTATGTTATATCTATATATTTGTTTTATTTTTATTTTTATTACTATCTATTATCTCAGTTTTTCTTATTGTTCTTTTTTGAAACAAATTGAATAAAACATTGTAAAAACAAAAAAAAAATAAAAAAAATTATGAGCCGTAAACCGTGGCTAAGAAAGTGCTCGCGGTGCTCAGTTTGGGAATCGCTGTCCGCTGCCTTAGACCATAATAATCATATTATACTATTTTTAAGATATGCACATACACGAGTACACGGACGCACTATCCCAGCCTACATGGTTGGATTGGAACATAGGAAAATCTGRAAATTCCCGATTTGCAGCATATTATTAACTATATAGTTGACGGGACCACTGCGTGCACTACGGAACTCAACGGCTGTAGGTTTTTGTAGCCTACAGAAATTAAGTATAGACAGTTTTTTGTTATTTGTATTTCGTAAAAGATGTGACTTTTAAGGGCATTTTTTTTTTAACGATTGAGAGCAAATATATAGAGTTAATTTTTTGTCAGTAACTTATGATTTAATTTTACCTAGTATTACGGAAAATACTTGAAGCAAAATTTTTAATTGTTGCTAGATTAAATTCAATTTCAAAATTCAAATTTAAACCAAAACCACGCGGATGTTTGTAAATTGCATTTTTTATTTATAAATTGATATTAATTTCTTTTTAGACTTAAATAGCTTTATGAGAGTTGATAATTATCACGTATTTATAGGTCATTAATATAAAATACAATCTCTTGCTTTTTTTTTGTCATGAATACATTCTTATAGGTTTATTAGGGCATCAACATTTGGACCATAGACATCTTTAAACAATAACTAATCAAAAAATCCTCATCTCTGGATAGCTTAATGTCTTTAATCTAAAACACACATTTTATCGTATAAGATTAATTGTGTTAATATTAGGATTTCATGGTTAAATTGCCTTAAATTTATATTAATCATCTGATTTTATACATTAATGTACGTATTATTATATTATAAATATTGTCTATTACTAGGTACTGGTAAAATGTTAAATCTCAGTAATATTATTGTATTTTTCAAACAGCACTTATATATTTTATATTTTTTTTCCAATTAAAACCAACAGCTGAGGGCTCTTTGTGAACAATACTACTACTCTACTATCATCATCACTTATATATTTTATATTTAAAGTAGGTCAAGTGATTTTTAACACAAAATTACATCTATAATAACAACTAAGTATTTTATACGTGTATATACTTTATAGCCTATAGTTTATAAAAGGGTTGAAATATTTCAACCATGGTCTTTATGATCGTCAAACTAAATAATATATTATTATAATATAATAATTTTTGTAGGAAGTATTATAATTACACCATAAAATGTCAATAAATGTTTACTACCTCTTTAAAGAACTGAAAAATGACCACTTTCAGTATGGTACTCCGTACACTTTTGCTAAAAAAATACATGATTTCTTGGAGCCACTAAAAGAATATTTTTCCCCGGTGTGGCCCGAAATTCCAATCCGTCGTTGTACCGTCCATATGGTTTAAATTTTTGGCGCGACCGATGTGTGCTAGCCGAGAGTGCTGAGACGTACACATGAGGCATGGGCCACAGACAAGTAAATATGGCATGGACGGCTTACGGGTGTGCCCTGACAGCTCCACTATCCACCCCTGGTGCTGCCACCGTGATTTATTGTCATATATGCATGTGCATTTATGCAATCAATTGTGAAATTCGTCGGGTCATATTATTTACACATTATAATTTGATTTTGCTATGTTAAAAATATTGTATTATGTGCGGAAGCGTAAATTAAGATTATTGTTTACACACGTCACGTTGTGTACATATTATTATGTTAATAATTTAATAATATACTTTTTGAAGGCATAAAAATATAATATWAAAATATTAATAGTACAATAATAAACATTGTGTTGACATAGCACCCGACCTTGACACCGGTGCGCTCAAGTTTTTTCTTCCATGATACCGGACAAAAGAGGAAAACGGCATTCTGCGCTCTGACTCATGTAAATTATTGATTCGTCGCGGTGGCGGCTGCGGCGGCGGCGGTGGAGGGCGCGAACGGTCGTCGGCGCAGAGCAGTACGAAGTGGTGGCGTTGGAGGAGGAATAACTATCGTCGGTGGTGGTGGTGGCGGTGGTGGTGGTGTAGGGTCAGGATGATGTGGCGGAGGTGGAAGAGGGGGAAGAGGATTCCGCCGCCGACGTCGTCGTTCTTGTAATGTAACGTTGTACGAGTGTATCGTGTATGGCGGAATCGTCAGTGCGTGCGTGTGTTACTTGATTTTTTTTCGTTTTTTCTATGTCAGTGTATAGTTTCGCTTCTCCGCGTGCGCTTACGCTGTCCGATTTTGTTGCCAAACTTCGGAATTTCGGTTTTCACGTGTAAACTAAGGGCTGTCATACACCGCGACCCCTTGGGAATAGGTTTTTTTTTTAATATTAGATAGTTTGTAATTTTTTTTTTTATATATATATATGTATATTTTTTTGTAAACACCGTTATTACCTATGCGTTTTTAATAAATAAACACAATCACGGTGAACTCCGTTTCGCGTCATCCGTCGTAGTTTGTTTTCCTGCCGGCCGTACAACATCCGCGGTGCTGAAAAAATGTCTTTCAAGACGTCGTCGGTCGTGTTTGCCGCCGCCTTTGTCGCTCTTTTCGTCCCATTCGTTTCCTGTTTCACGACGTCCGACGGTAAGTTCAACGGCGTTTTTTACTTGACTCTCTTGCCGTCTACGGCCGTTTCGGTCGTGTTTTCCTTGTGTTTTATGTACCCACCCCAAACTGCCTGAACTGTATACGACGGATTCGAGTCGCTTGCACGGATACTTATATTATTATGATGCACTCATTTGGCCGCCCGTAAGGGAGTCTGTCTGTGGCAAACGAGTACCCATACGTTACGGGCTTCTGAGGTGTTCGCAAGTTGCAGAGAAAGAGAAAAGGAGACACACACACACAYAGAAATGTTAATAAAATAACGGTAATAAGAAAAGAAAGAAAAAACGTGATTTATGTGTCGAAGCTCGCGGTCACGTAGTCGGGCGGCGGGCAGGTGGTGTGCCGCCGATTGGGAAAGAGATGCACGGCGGCGGCCGGCTGGAGTCTGTGGAGAGAGTGTAGGCCGTGAATCTGTGATAGTGTGATGTGATGTCGATCGCAACGACTGTGGGACTCTGTTTTTTTTTTTTTTTAATTTCCAATGGCGGCTTCGCCCTCGAAAACATACCCGTCTCGGTTTTGTACTTGTTAGGAATCTTTTCGAGTTTTTTTTCGACACGTCTACCCTCCCAATCATTTTATGCCACTTTTATCTTATTTTATCCGCTGTGGGGATAATAATTGTTCCGTATTCGTGCACAACTGTGCACACACGTCTTCATGTTATCACACAACTATATACCTGTTATGTATTTTATTACATTTCCGACCAACTAAGAGCCTCGGCCCTCGGACGTCTTGTATGTGCCAGTTGTTCAAACAGTCAATGATGGTGACTGTACAACAAGATACAGACATTCTTGCATATTATTATTATTATTATTAAGTGTTGATAAATTTAATACTTCTATAAAAAAAACGACATTACCAGTTATTGTTTTCCTTACTGTTTTCTTCCTACAGTTTAATCTAAAGTACTCTTGCTATTCCAAGACAGGTGTTTTTTCTATGTGATAAGAGTTTTTTTAATTCTTCAATATTAGGTATCATAGTTTTAACTTCTATGCAATTATTCAATAGTCTTATCCGCTTGGCACTAACCACTTAAACACAATGTATGATTTACCTATCTTAAATCGTGCCACTTTTATAAGGCAATGATAATCAAATACTAGTTATAGAATTTGTTTTGTTTGTTATCTTGGTTAGTTATGTACGTGAATTTGATAAACAAAATATGTAGACATTTGATAAAATTATTAATTAAATTATCTAACTATTAGGAAATATACAAATTTATATAAACTACCTAGGTAATTACCTACATTTTTTTTTTATTATTTATCCATAATACTATAGGTACGTTATATTATTCTAAATCTATTTTATTTTTTAAGTAGATATACTTRATATTTCACATATACTGTTTAAAAAAATTAGATTAATTTTATATGTTGCTACTCGTTGCTACTTCCCAACCTATAATTTTCTATAACACTTTCAAGTTAGGTACCTATCTGTGTTGCATAAATTAATATTACTATAACAATAGGAATATGTAGGTATATAGGATTTTATAGTAAAACTATAATTGTTATATAGGTCTTGTTAAGTTGCAGCTGCAAATAAAAGACTTGGGTGGGGGACAGGAGTAAGGACATCATACAGTTTACTAGCAAAAGTATAAAAATAACATTTGAAATTTGAGGGGTTAGCTAAAGCCCTGCTTTAATAATATAGAATAAGCTTAAAACAATATTTAGGAAATGTTTGGAAGGTTATGGAAACTTTTTAAAGAGCTTAGCTCCTATTTGCACCCATATTTAAGAACATTTTGTTTTATTTTGTTTAGAATAACTTTATTAGTAAAATAATTTTACTTTTTAGCTGTGCTTGTTATACCCTTGTTTGACATTTTAAACGTTAAAACCTTATTTACAACAGAGTTTACAACTCAAAGTGAAATTTTTTCCCATTTAAAATTTTAAAAATATGTACCTATGTTATGGGTTATTGAGACCTTATAAACTGATATGACTCTTCTTCAACTAGTCTTTTCTAAATTCAATTATAAAATTAAAAGAACTATGTACCTACATTGAAACATACACTCTAATTAAATAAACTGAATTTGCTATTCCCTACCTAATTATTTGAATGTGTATTTATGTAACAATCAACATAAACATGTGTATTTATTACAATGCACAAATCTATGTAACAGGGGTGGCCAACATGAATATGTACACGAGCGACATGGATAATTTTTTTACACCAACAGTTTAGAGAATATTTAAATTACCTATCAATTAATTGATAAGAAAAAATAAATTAAAAGCTTTAAAATAGGAATGTAGGTTTCTAGTTACTCAATATTTCAACACATCTACTAATTGAGTATTGGTGAAAACAAATGCCCTAATAAATGAATAAATTAGTCGTCATTTTAAATGTTTGTTTAACATACAATGTACCACTCAATGTCAGTTTGTCAACTTTTAGTTAAATTTTCTTTAGTAGGTAAAATAACACTTTTTAAGCATGCTATTAGAATAAACTATTTATATTTAAAATATAACGACAATATATTATTGAAGAATATAACATTTAAATATAACATTAGTAATTCTTTTTAGATATTTCCACTTAGGTAATACCTATTGAGTATTATTTATTATTCATATATTAGATAATTATAGTAGGCAGCATGTACCTACCTATTATCCTAATTCCTAATGCTTTGTAATATTGATTATAAGCATTTAACTCTTAACACTAATTGTATTGTTTAAAGATAGCCTTTCTTAAAATCATATTAACTCTGAAAGGAGACTGTAGGGTTCTAAGGTCTTCTAAGGTTATACACATTTATTGTTAATTTTTAAAATGAAAAATATTTTTAAAAAATTATTCAATTTAAATGAATAAAGATAAAACAATTTCATTGTGAATTCTTGTTTATAATTTTCATATTTCGCTAGGTAATTCTTTAAAAAATAATATTTAAAATTGTATTCAATTAAATATTTAAAATTACTTTATTCATTACTAATTTCTAACTAGCTAATTAGGTATTATGAAATTGAATATCTATTTTAAATTTGTCCATAAACAATATATGATATATTATCAATTGTGATAATCAAATATAAGCAAGGTATTACATTTTGAATTAGGCAGGTTTATCATTAATACTTTTAAATACAATAGTGACAAAATATCTATTAATTTATAACATTAAAATGTTAAAAAAATGTTAAATATGAAAGAAAGACAAGAATAATGTATATAGCAGGGCAGGCCAATTTGCGACTCGCAAACCACATTTGGTATGCGTCATTGTCGTATGTGGCTTAAGTCTTACTTACAAAAATCAAAAAAAATTTCATATACCTACATTTATAGAAATAATATTTGTATTATACATGGTGTTTCGCGAGGATTTACCCATTGATATATCTCCTGAGATAAATAAATATATTATCATAAATCTGTTTTTTTTTTTAGACTCACCTAGACAAGGACTACATTTTTTTAATTTTTGAAAAATAAAAAGATCAATTTTTATAGCTTATTTTTTTGAAAATTTTAACCTTTCAATATTTTCATTAATCTCTTTATTTTTGATAATTTTTTTAGTTTATAGATAGCAAAAACCTAGTTTTTATCCGGGCTGTAAGTCCCCCTCTACGGTTAATAGGTATATGGGACACCCTCATCAAACATCCTGTATAGATCTTAGTCTATAAATTACAGATTAATGAACAAAAATATATAATTTATATTCGTAAAATAACATTATTTATTAAATAAAATGATAAAATACCTATATGTTTATAAATATTTTGGCTCTTCATATCATTGCGTTTATAAACATGGCTCTTGAATATATTCATGTTAGCCACCCCTAGTATCCCCTAGTATATAGTATTATAGTAATAATCTATTATTTTTTTGATTTTCAGAAATCTTACCAAAATTGGTGATAGATGATAAGCTGAGCGGATATCATGGCTTAGTAAAAGAAAATGAAACGCTTGTTGAAGTTGTTCCAGAAATTTATGCCATTGGTGATGTTTGTAATTTTAATATAGTGAACAAACATCATGGAGAAGCACCTTTTGAAGTAAGTGCAACTGTTCTAGAAATTGTCTATATTATCAAAGCATCTATTAGGTAATTAAATGTACAATTTAATTATTTAACTTGTTATTTAATCACTAAGCGGATAATATTTAACAATTTCTTAAGAGGATGCTACACAACCATTTGTTGTCCCCATCTCTTACAAATACATAAAATTGCAAAATTCAGTAGATCACGTTTAGCTCTGTTAGTTTAAAAATTATATTGAATTAACCTATTATGAAAAACTAGATGTTAAGAACATTATCTATGTTTGTATTTAGGTTTTTTTAAGATAGTTCAATTTTGTAGCAAGTTGTGCATTTATAAAAAAGCGTAAATTAAAAATGCTCATAACTCACTTTAAAACAAATTATCGTATAAAATCCACATACAACTACTGATAATGTTCTTACCATCATTTGCATAGTAGGTCAATTTACTCTTCGATTTACTCTAATTTTTAAACTAATGGAATTAAACGTGGTCTGCTAAGTGTAAATTTGTTATGCTACACACTTGCAAGACGGAGACACCAAATATGTATGTAGCGTCTTCTTAAGGATTTCTTTTAGGTATCTAATTGTTTTATTTTTAAATAATACATTATAATTGTGTACCTGTAAGTTATACTATTATATTGAGTTAGCTTTAACTATAGCTATAAAATATATTATTAGTTAATTCGGCTGTCTCCCAATATGCGATCTACCGCTGAAAATGCGGTCTACCAGAATAGACGTGGTTACTGGTTATAATATTAAATTGTAGTATTTCAGAGACCAGCATGAATAGGCACATGTGGTATAAATAAAAATATTAACAAATGTTAAATAATGATAATAATAATGATGTGATATGGTACGACCCGTCGCTAATGAGGCACTGGAAATCCATCCATACTCAAATTGTTTCGGACAAGGTAACAGACCATACTCTTGCAAGTATTTAACACCTGAGGCCTCAGTTAAAAAATTTTCATAAAATTCTTTTACAAGCACTTTAAAGTTAAAAAAATTTTCAGTTAAAATTTAAAAAAAAGTTGTTTTACCACAAACGACACTATGACAACTAACATGTTATTAGCTGCTATATGATAAAATATATATCATTATAAAAAAATACGATAAAAGTGATAAAACATAATATATTAAATTAGTAGGTAATAAATAAATAAATAATAATGATGCGGGATTCCCTACTATAGGTAGGTATAAGTGTATAACACATAAAATTGGTAGACCGCATACTATATTCATATTTATAGTTAGGTAGTACGCAAAATACAGGTAGACTGCATATTGGGAGATAGCTGTTCATTCAATAATACTATAATTATGGTAAAAATATATTTTTTTAATTTTAATTTGTTATTTAGATTCTTTGTTTTAATTAAAATAATAAGTAATGTATATTAATTTCATAAACATGTAAGTGAAATTAGAATATAGCTCTTAAATAATTAAAATATTGGAACTTGATTAGTTGATATGTACTTTTTTTAATGTAAAAACAAATTTTCTGAAAAATGTAAAAAATTAAATTACTATAGGTGTATTTCAAATAATAATTTGTGATTTGAAAGTTATACGCTTATATTAATTCATTGGAATATTGTTTGAGCTACAAGTTAAATTTAATACAGTTAAATTACTAAAGATTACAATCTAAAACATGTAAATATTTACTCTGTTTCTTATAAGAGTAACCTAGTTAGCGATAATTTTTTGTCAAGCAAACCACGCCTCTTGGCAAAACGGTTGTCGTCTTTTTCTGTGTCAGACAACTGATTATCAATGAATGTACTGAGTTACTTCTGATGGACTATTGATCTTTTGAAAAGTTGCTGKTTGTAGAAATTAATAAGTAATACATCCCATGTCATAGAAGTGTATGACTACATGTTTGTTAGCTACACCCATTATTGCCGCTGTGCTCAGAAATTTGTCTCCTGTGGTTACTTTTATATAAAATGGAGTATAGATATTATTAAATGAGTTACAGGAAGTCCACTTAATCATTTTTAAAATGTATCTTTATAATTTATGCATTCAAATTTAAAATTTAAATAATGCTATGGTTTTAAACAATGAAATTCATTTTCAGATCATTCTTCGTCCAAATGGTTATGCTGAACTCCGAGCTCGCAAAACTTTAAATTGTGAGAAACGTAAAACATATAAATTTGAAATTGCTGCAGTTTCATGTTCTGGTTTGATATCGGATAAGTGAGTTCTGAGTAGTTAATATTTAATATTTTTAATATTAATTTGTTTTTAATTATTTTAGTGTTACTGTGCATATAACTGTGGTTGACATCAATGAATATGCTCCACTGTTCTTAGATGCATCTTATGTTAAAGATGTTGATGAGGGCCAATTGTATGAAGAGATAATTCGAGTAGAAGCCACAGACCGTGATTGCACTCCACGTTTTGGTGATATTTGCAAATATGACATACTTAATGATGATCAACCTTTCACTATTAATAATGAAGGTATGATTAAGTTATTAATTTTTTTTTTTTCTACCAAATATTTATAAAAAAAATTTTATTTTTAAAACTCATGTGTTTAAATTGCTTGTATGGTTAATTTCTTAGGAAGTATCAGAAATACTGAACCATTAGACTATGATCGCAGTCACAATTATATATTGTCAGTTGTTGCTTATGACTGTGGCATGAAGCAATCTGCTCCTGTTATGGTCACTATTAAAGTAAACCGAATTTGCAAACTGGGTTGGAAAAGTGTGTATATCAATACTAAACTATATTTTTAATATACAATTGTTAATTATTCATATACTTTTTAGGTATTCCCGAAGAAATTGATTACTATCCTACTTCCGGTCGTAAAGATTTGTTTCCTAATGCGCAGTTAAGACTATGTGATGACCCATGCCACGTGAAAAATGTTAATGCTAAGCTGACTCTAGCAACATCGCATATCGGTAAAGGTTGTGACCGTGATACATATTCTGTTCAAAGTCAAAGAAAACTTTGTGGTAAGTAATTACTTTAGAGTATATATTGTATATCATCTATGTACATTATTATTTTTTGAGTTATCAACACTCATTGTCTTGAATAGTATGATTTAATAATCTGAAACCTTTTGTGCCAATAATGGTGGTTTTGACTGATGACTAATATATAATAATGAGAAAATAAATAATGAAATTTACATTTTTTTTTGTTTAAATTTTACAATCTTGTATAGGAGCAAGTAAAGAAAGTGTAGAACTTTTACCCGCTAACCATGTACCTTTATCTGCTGGAAACGCAATTAAGCATGACGAAGGTCGTGAATCTGATCAGATGTATGAGTTTGATGGCAGTAGCACTGCTGTTGCTATACCCAATGATGTTCTTGACCATGGACTATCATCAGCGTTCACTATCTCTACATGGATGAAACATAAGCCTATGCCACACCAAGATAAGCATGTTAAAGAACATATTTTATGTTCTGCTGATGACCATAGTATGTTATTTAATATATTTTTTTTTTAATTTTGAGTTGAAACTGTGCTGACATTTTTTGTTTTTACTGATGTTTTCTAATTAGAAATGAATCGTCATCACTATGCTTGGTTTGTACGAAATTGTCGTCTCATACTTCTTTTGAGACGTGATTTTTCACAAGGAGATCTTAATATCTTTAGGCCAGCTGAATGGAGGTGGAAAATTCCACAGGTTAATTTCAATAGTTTAATTAATAATTAAGAATAATTATGAATATTTGGTATAAATTATATTTCTAGGTATGTGATAATGAATGGCATCACTATGCTGTATCAGTACAATTCCCCAATGTTCAGCTATACATTGATGGAGTACTTTTTAAATCTGAAAACAAAAACCCTGAAGTTATTGATGATTGGCCTTTGCATCCAACTAAGGGAATTAATACTACTTTGACTGTTGGAGCATGTTGGCAAGGTACAGTTAAATTGTCTGTCTTGTATTAGTATTTAACACCAATTGTATCATCAATTGTTACCTAGTAATAATGTTTTATTTTATTGTTATAGGTTCAGAAAACAAAATGAAACATCACCTACGAGGATATTTAGCTGGCTTATCAGTACTCTTGCATCAACTTGAAAAACCTGAGGTACTCGCATGTTTACATAAATGTAAAGAAAGTTTAGAAGTTCCTGCAATGGAGTTGTTGGAACCTGGAATGGAACTGCTAACTAACAGTGGTAAGTACCATTTATTTCACATTTATAATATACTGTAAGTCAATTATAAACATTTAATATTACTTTGTTATATATTAATTTTAGAGCTAACTGAATTATCAATTGAGGGTGATAATAAGACAAATTTAGAAGTGTTGGTGAAGAAAATTGGTTATTCTAACAGCCGTGACTATCCAACTCCCGGTAGACGTAATCTACACTTGACTACGTCTCTTATGTAAGTTGAAATTTTTTAAGTATTTTTTTGATTATTGTTTTATATTAATTTATAATTATTTTTATAAAGTTGTGAAGGTGGTCGTGAAGTGAAGATGCCTCCCGCTGAAAGCTATATAATGGTCCACCGACCTCAACAACCTAATATTATCATTAATGGTACTAACACAGTACCTAGAGAATACCATGAATTTAGACAGGGTGTACAAGTTTTCCCTGATCTCGCCATTAGCATTGAGCCAGAAAGTTATGATTATGAATCTAAAAACCGTAAGTACTGACTACATTTTATTTTTAGAAATTACTTCTAATGTTGTACTTTTGTTTATAGCTGAATTGACAAATGTATTAGAGCGTCGCATTGATTCCTGTATAATATCTGTTTATCCTTCACTGAATCCGGACCATGAGACATTGACCATTCCTGCTGATATGTTGGCTAAATTTGGAATTTCTGCTAAAGTTTCTAAAGACGGTGTAGCTTTCAACAATGCTGATATTGTATTCCATTATCAAGAAGCCTTACGTGATGTCCATTACACCAACTTTAAGCCTGCATACTATCTAAATCGTCAATTCAAATTGGTCTGTTCTGAAATGAATGGAAGGTTTTTGAGTAATGAATACATACAAACTGTGAGTTTCTTTGCTACAAATTTTCTTGATCACAGATTTTTATCTAGCAATTACTTATTTAGATTTTGATAATGATATTTTCAGTTGACTGTAATTCATCCGAAATCTCCAACTGTTGTTAATACTACTTCTACAACACTTCCGACAACTGCTTTGCCTGCTGCTTCATTAGTTGAAGAAAATGACGCTGAACCAAAACCAGCTCATGCTCAAATTGTACAACATTCTGTTGAAGCAAAACAAGCACAAACTATATTTGGAAATTACTTGGATGGATCTATTGATGAACGTGCACAGGCTATTGTCACTGGTGGTGGACATGCTGTTACAATTATCATTGTGGTGTGTGTTGGATTTTTAGTCTTAATGATTACATTAGGAATTGTGCGTATTAAGGCCGCCCACCAAAAAGCAACACAGGATGAAGTCCAGGACACAGAGATGGCTTGGGATGATTCAGCTCTTAACATTACCATAAACCCCATGGAGGTAAACTTCAATTGTTGTTGTCTGTTGATTATGTTGATGTATCACATTTTATGTTATTTTTAGCAATTGGAATGTGATGGCAGTGGTGCAGTTGGTGGTGCGTTATCAGCTGGCAAACATAGGCATGCTGAAAATGAAGACGATTCTTCTGATGACAATATGAGTTATGATTATGACGATAGTTCAGATGATGGTGGTGGCAATGAAGAAGATGATGGTCTACACAGAGGCTGTGCACCTCGTTTAGAATGGGATCATTCTACCATGTCTATCTAAGTCGTGTTTTACTATCAAAAAATCATGCACACCAATACGACTTGCAGCACCTGTCCTTTTATAGGTTACATGGTGATTCTATTTTTTAATACTAAACAAAAATCACTCTTTTTTTGCATATCTTTCGAAAACGCTTGACTAACGCGCTTTAGAACATTTGAAATTCGTTTTTAGACATACAAGTTTTAAATAAATTAAAGAGTGGGGTTTTGTTGGGAGTCAATCAGACTTTTACTTAACTTATTTTGCTGTCCTTAAGTTCAAATAAATTACACTATTATTTGTTTGCACTGATATCAATTTATATTTTATTATAATATACATGATTAAATGTAACATTATAATCTTGACACTGTTACCGCGCAACTTTCTATATTATATGATTATGATTTTTTTTGATTTTTTTTACTTTTTTATAATTTTTTTCAGACATATCCTAAATTATGTTATTATTTTAACTAGCACTATCCCCACTCTTTCTTTAACTTAGTGTTCATACATAAAATGTATACATATATATATATATAGAACAATTTTTTTTTTAAATGGAGAAGACTGTAAATAATGTATAAAGAAAAGAAACAAATTAAAGGCTAATATTCGCATTTTTAATGTGCCATTCGATCAATCAATATTATATGTTTAGTTTTATAGTTTTAAAAGCCTTTCAAATCACAACCATCAACAAAACTGTTCTCCTCTCTACTCCGTAATTCATTCCAATGCACTCGCTTGTCGTCTTCTCAACACCAGAGCAGCCAAACTCTTGCCTATGTTCGTGTTTCCATTTATATATTTGATACCGTCCAAATAGGTTTCCTCGTGAATTTTTATTTTTTAAAGAACTGTGTTTGCAGTTTAGTATTATTGGTTGTGCAATAAAGTACTTAAATATATTATAATAATAAAAATAAAATTAATGATGAAACTACTGTGCACTTTGTTATTTTGTCAGTGATATTATTTTTTTTTGTATCATCATATTATGAGACATAAATGTAAACTTGGTGAATATTTATACATACTGCATTTTCTTACTATGGACAAATATTACCTTATCTTATACTAGTTAAAAAAGTGAACAAATTAACACATATTATATTATGATTTATATTGTTACAATAATATATACATTTTATGTTTATTCTAATTTTTATTCAAAATAATAACCAATAAATTTATAACTACTAAATACATAATGAAAAATAAATTATCATTACATTTATTAATACATATTAAAATMTAAAGATTATAATAAATGAATTAAAAGTATATAAGATTATTTTTATGTAAATTTAGAGTAAATTGTAAGATTATACACATAAATTTTAAAAGTATTAATTATAACATCTTGCTTTGGTATATCATAAGTATATATTAACTAATTAGGGTGTAGGTAGTGATTGGTGGTATTATAGTAATTATTATCCTAAATTATTTTTATTTAACAGTAAATGTATTATTATTTTTATCCTTTGTAACTAATGATTATTAGTAAAATTATGATTTAAATTAATTTCTTCCAAATTAAAAAAAAAAAAAATTGATGTGCAATAATTTGTTAAACATATTTTCTGTATTGTGTGTATTCTTTAGATATTGCAATGTAATATTTTTTTCTGCTAATATAAATAAATCACCTACACCTGTTATGACTCCTGTGTTAATATTGTTTATACCTGAAACTTTCAAGTACTGTACCGACCACCATGATAAGTATAACTGTCATTTCTTAATACCAATGTGCTAATAAAGTTATTTTTATTAACACATTTTTCAATAAACAAAAATTAAAAGAAAGCATACCAAATTTTTTTTTCTCATTTTTTTATGTAATGTTCGACAAACTAAATAAGTCATCTGTATCAATTTAAAGTAAATAAATTATAGTATATTATTTAATTTGATTGGCCGTTTAATTTATGCTGGCTGTACTTAACAGCAATTTTATTGGTTTCATAATATTATTCATGTATATAGATTTGAATGCCATTTAATAAATACATGTAACTTTTAAAGTTTAGTTATTAGATCAATTTGTCTACTTGTTCTAAATATCATCAAGAAGACGAGCTTGATTTTATTTAAGTCATATATACTATATAGTATATACATGTTTGTTTACATATTCACTGAATTATGAATTAATTTCAAATTAAATGATAACCAATTTCTTGGTCCATGTAACTTCGTCCATTAATGTATTTTATTGAAATTTATAGGTAAGTAAACTTTAGTACTTTACAGTTGACATGTGACCTGTCTTTACAAATTTAATTCTTTAGTGGCCAAGATAATTGTGGGGGAGAGGAGAATAATTCTGCTCAAAATTTTACTATTAATTGTAATTTTGAAGATTAGCTGTGTAGGGTTTTACTTCTCATTGCCTACAAACTACTTAGTACTAACTTGATGACTTCTTTAGATAGTTAAAAAAAAACTAAGGTTACTAATAAGTAATAAGGAATATTAATGTCAATTAAATAAATTAAAAGAGGATAGGGTCATCTTTGCATGATCCTTAGTTAGCTTAGACTCTGGTCACAATTTAGGCACAATTTATATTTAGGCTGTGGTAAAAATATTGTTAATGTGAGCCTTAGTCGATTCCCTTTAAATACACCTACTGTTAGACAGGCAGTTTGGTAATCAAGTTATAATGTTCTATTTTTTAATAATTTAATTTAAATTTTATGTAGCTGTAGCATAGATTTGAATAATATGTTACCTATGATATATTATATTCATTTACCCTACCAGCTACCTATTATTCGGTCATAAGGTGACTTATAATTAGATAATTGCCACCTGGAAATTTAAATTATTTAATGCAAGTTTTAAAAATTTTGTGTATGGGTAATTTGAAAATAGCATTTGAATGTGGTTAGTGCTGACATGCATAAAATAGTAAAATAGTGAGTTCTGTGAGGGGTTTGCTTACTCAAAATATTGTGAACTATTACACGTCATAACAAACCAAAAATTGAAGAAAATTAAGATTTTTACGCAAAACTAGCTGTCGAAAAAAATGGAGTTTGTTTTTTTAGTGTAACTTTACAGATAAGTGAAATGTTCACTCAATGTTTAAATTAGTGATTGCAATACACCATTCAATTTTTGAAATATTACAACTTACTAATTTTGAGCAATTTATCCGTATAAGAAAATTTAAACGTTGGTTATTTTTTTTTAAAATTATTGTCGATAAAAAAGTTTGCTCATTTAAAATACTTGAAATGTAATACAATGTTAGGTACTTATAAGTTTTTCTCAGTGGACATTTAAAAAAAGTTCAGTGTAATTTTTTATGAGTGTCTGAAGTTAAAATATGGACAAAATTCGTCAAAATCATGAAAACTAGCAAATTGTTAATAGTTAGAAATTCATAAGAATTTTTCTATTCATATCTAAGCTTAAAAGATTCATTTAAGTTTCTTACATTTAAAATAAAAAGTATACTTTGAAGTCAAATTAGGTAATTTTTTACGAGCGTTTGAAATTAGACATTGGATACTATAACCTGTAAATTAACAAATTCTCATATAAAGATTTTTCTATTTTCTAATTATTCAAAAAACAATGCTACCAATACTCGCAAGTACTTTAAACTGTCATTAATCGTTTTTTTTTTTCAAAATATTTTGACTTATTTTGAGTTAATTAAAGACATTTTAAATGTGTCGGTTCCAAAAAAAATTGTTGTTCTTATAATTATAACCACGCACTTACCATATACAGAGACTTCCTCTTAACAGGGAAACGAGCATATCGTAAGTAAAACGTTATTATATATTGTCTTCCACGAATTTCCATAATAACCTGTCATCGAACAAAACAATTGCAATCAAACATAAAGACGTACTTCGCCCTAACAGACTATAGATACTGGCCGAAATGCTAATGCTAGAATACCCACAATTAAAATTATAAAAAAATAAAATAATATCAATAGATATCGCCATGGATCATTTTCTACTCCAAATTGTTACAGTTCTTTAAGAGGACGTTTCACCCGCATGTGTTGTCTCCGTCTTACAAGTGCGTAACATT